CTTATAAGATTTTAGATAGATTATCCGTGACGGTCAAACATAAAAAAATTAAAGGAGCAGAGGAAGTATATGTAATGTTAAACGCTAACATGCTAGACTGTACAAAACGGTGAACAACAATTCGTTAGCAGAAGCGGTGATTAGCAGTCTACAACAATGATAGTATACTCCCTCCGTATTTTAAAAAATGGCTACATATGACTTTCACACATTATTTAAGAAGGAATGTAATAGGGGCAATGGATATTGTAGAAAAAGTAAGAGATAATGTGTTAAAGTATGAAATAAAAGATAACAAGTAGAAACATTAAGAGTAATTGAGTATTTTTAAGAGCAACTTACCAAAAATCAAAGTGTAGCAAACTTTACTATAAATACATCCAAAAAAGTGTAGCAAACATTAAAGTATGGGGAGAGAGTATCTATAAAGAAAGTACAACAACAAAAGTTTCATGAAATACATGAAAAAATTAAAATACCTCAAACTTTGAAGGGGTGTGAAATGAACACTTGCATATGTAATTTAAATACCTCCAACTTTTTATAAAAAATTATTTTAGAACCATAGTCAAGTATTATTTCTTTTCAAAATGTAAACTTATGATGTTAATGATATAGAGGAAGTGGTCCAGTCCAGCCGGTCGCTGACTCACTCTCCCTTACGGGAGGTCTCGGGTTCGAAACTCAATGAAGTGAGTTTCAACCTAGATTACTCCAGGCTCCCCAGCCCCCTTCCCCAAACGCCCCTGGAGTAAAAAAAAATGTAAAAGTTATATTTAAAAAAGTATTTAAAAAAAAGATGTTAATGATATAATTTAAAATATTTTAGATTCATGAAGACACATTTAACATTCTAAACTTCCTTTGCGAAATAAATAATGTAACCCCCAATTTATACAATTGAAACACTTTTATTTTTCTATTTTAAATTATGCAATTAACCCCATAAATTTACATTTTTAACAAAAATAAGACACAAGATGGTGTGAAAATAACTTTTTATATGCAAGTTTGGGGTGTTTACCTCACAGCCCTTCAAAGTTTAGGGTATTTTTATTATTATTCCCATATTTGTACTATCAAGTTATTTCATTACCACATAGAGTTATTATTATACGATATCATTTATTTTAATTTTACTTGCAATATTTCATGGGATCCAAATTTACACTTTCCTACCGCTACTACTACGTATATAATTAATAAAAGTTACAACAAATAAACTTTATCTCCATCTTACATTTGGCATTACGTATCATCGTAAAACATAATTTTAAATAAATTACTTTGTATTATTCAATTCTAGATATACCCCGTGCATCGCACAGGTACTTAATCTATCATTTTAGTCTTTATGCTATTTAATCCATATTAATAGAGTCCTTCCGTTAAAAGTTGTCGTTTACATTATTGTTAGCTGATTTATTAACATCTCATAGTTTTGAACATTTCAGAAAAATACAATTATTCTTAAAATTTAAGTAGCTAATCTAATATTTTTAAATATACATATGTATACACATAGTTTGCTAATTACCACACCAATGCAATTAGAAAGCAACAAAAAAAACTAACTGGGAAAAAAATTGAATATAATAATCTCAATTCTCAATTGGAAAATTTATATCTACTAATAAAGGAACTAATCAATCAAAATAAAAAATGACACATTTACAATTAAAATAAAGATTATGGACAAAAATGGAACCTCTTAAGTGTAGTTACTATTTGCATGTTTTACTTTTTACACTTAAGTGACCATGATATTATATTCACAATGTTTAGTCATATTTTTATGAAATACTTTCAAAATAAAAGTAGTGGAGCAAAATGTGACATAATATCTTTTTGTGACGATAATTATATTCAATAGTAAAGTCATAGTGACTATAAAACTTACTCGTAGTAACTTATACTCACACTTTTATCCATAGATTTTTTATTAGTAATATTTTAGGAACCAATTAGGAACCATCGAAACAAGATGGTCTGACATGCAAATGTGATACTATTATGATATTACATAACAATGACATTATTCTGAGAAGACCGCTGAAATTGGGATTATTTTTGTCAATATTAGAAAAGATGTTGAAAAAGTAAAATTTGTAGTTGTGATTTGATTATAATAAAGTGGAATGTTGTACAACATATTTCTTTCCAAAAAAATATTAAACATGCTTTTAGGACAACACAAAAAAGACTAGTAAAATGAGACAGAAGGAGTATTCATTTAAATAAAGTAAATAAATAAATAATATTAATATTACTATTTCCGTTCCACTAACTATGAGGAGATGATGCATTTTTAAATACTACGTAATTATGTGATTGATATTGAATTGATAAAGTAAGAATAAAGTTAAAATAATTTATAACCTCACAAATTTTTACAGAGCTTGGTATGTAACCAGTGGCGGAACCAGACCATTTTTTGAAGGGGGGCGGTGTGGTAAGTCAAAGTCGGATCAATGCAAAGTTGACACGGGTCAAAAGGAGAGGGAGTAAGGTGAAATGTATTATTGAAATAACTATTTTTTTTAAATGTAGGATCGAAATAACTAATTTATATATCAAACGATAACAAAGAAACAAGTGAATGAATAGCTTAAGCCTAAAATGGGATGAGACTTCAGACGAAAATATCTCATAATCCTTTCATATTGCTAATCCATAATAATAAGTGTAGTCTAACATTTTTACTGCACTTGCTACTCCAAATAAAAAACCAAAAATTACAAATAAAAGATCCAACTTCACCAGCCACCGAAAAGAGAAAATTGATTTGACTAGCAACCAAAAAAGGTAATCGTGTGAAGTAAAAATTTTCTACATCATCGGTTTGACTAACCACCGAAAATCATTGAAAGATTTAAAGTAATCTTTAGGATTAGCTTAAAAATATAATTATATATGGAGTACAATTTAGAATAGAAGTTATAAAAAAATGTATTGTTAATCGCATAAAAAATTGTCAAGTTAGTTATTACCAAGTATGTAGTATAAAATAATACTAATAAAACCACAAAAACAAGTACAAAACTTTGAAACAGTTTAAATAAATAAAAAAGTTAAAGATTATTAAAATAAATATAAATTCACGAAACTACCTAAATCAAGAGATGAAATTAACTAAACAATACGGACATAATCAAAGCACTACAGGGTAATTGCTAAAAACCTAAAGGCTAGAGCAACTCAACAGTTCATTAATATTTAATTCACTCCGTAAAGAATAACACAATAACAAAGCACAATAACAAAGCAATTCATCAAGTCTGATAGTTCCGATGTGCGATCTTTCGCTAACGAGGAAACGCTGAAGCGACGCTCCCCTGCGGCATGCATTTCAGCCCTTAATTTTCTCTGGCCCAATTATCCTTTTAGGTCTGTTTTCTGTACGACGTCGTTTGCAATCGATTGAACAACCATTTAACGGAGCGGTGTCGTTTGGAACTTCGAATTAAGTTTTAAAGAAACACCGGAAGGAAATAACAGACCAGGTGCCGGAGGAAGCTGCCGGAGGAAGCTTGAAGAAGACCGGGGCGCCATGGAAAATATACCTAATACTACCTCAAAATTTCCGGCGAACGGGGGGCGGCGGCACCGGCTCGCCCCCCCCTAGTTCCGCCACTGTATGTAACCATTTTAGTAAGACAAAATGGAAAAAAAAGATGGGATAATCCTAATGAGAGTAAGGTGAAAAACCGAACAAAAAGTTATTCGGAACAAAAAAAGTGTAAACGTATTGTCTTAATTAATGAACCAAGTAATAACTCCATAATTATTACGGAGTAATAATTAAAGGTCATGCAGCCGCTTAGCCCATGGAATCCCTGGTCATGGCAGCCTGGCAGGCCTTCGCCAACAGTTTCGGGGTAAATAATTGGCCGCACACTTCGACCCCTTCGTCTGACCAAGTTACGCCCATGTCGCCAGCTCGTCCACCATCTACGCAGCTCACCGGCACCGGGAAGAAGTCACGCCTTAAAGCCACAAGAGGCGCGGACGGAAGGCAGGAACGTTGATGGAGGCCGCGAGGATGACCACCATAGTTGTCGAAGGAGAAAAAACCCGCATAGAACAGATCTGCTATGTCATCCACAACTGAGTGCATAGCTTGACAGGAAGAGAAAGGCAAGGCACTGACGGGACGGAGACGATGGCTCCAGCCAACTCTGAAGATCTGAGGTCTGGAGCGGCGATGCCATTTCTATGGAACGACGCGACTAACTTCAACAGGTGCGGCGAGCTTCGACAGATGGCGTACTGCGGAGGCATGCACGACGGCAACATAGACGGACGGCGAAGACATAGAGGCTGACGACGGCTTCCACTCAGAACTGGGGAATCGAGATCTAAAATTCCAGAACTGTTTTGCTAAATTTGCTAGAATTGTTTTTGCGTGATTTCTCCCGTGAATGATGAACTATGGATATTTTTGTTGTTTTTGGGAGGTTTTCTCAAAAAAAAAAAAAAAAAAAATTAAAGGTCATGGAAATAAGTAATTAGTTTTTTGAACCTATAAAGAAAATATTCAAAAAGGCAATAAATATAAATAATACAATTAAAAATTCAGAATCATACAAAAAATAATACTAATTCAGAGGAATAAAAAACAAAGATAGTTCAATGTTATATTCTGGTTTAATAATATAAAAAATGCAAAGTACTACTGTACTACATTATATTCAAACGTAATTAATTTGACGATAAAGATCGTATAAAGACTATACTAATAATAAATAGATAATATTTAATAATAATCATCTAAAAACTAATCTATAAATGGTTGCACTCGCCAAGTACCTTTTGGTCTGATGGCATCACTGTGTCACTCTCAAGGAGGAGGTAACAGGTTCGAATCACATCCCAGTTCAAGAATGTTGGCATTAATAATGAATAGATACTATATAGGTTAGAAAAAATTGTCCAAAAAAATGGTTGCACTCATTTCATTCTACCATGTTATATGTTAGTAAAAAAAATTGATCATCAAATTAAAGGGTTTTTCAATTAATATAGAGCAAACATGCAAGACAAAATCAGACAGCTATTACAGATATGATCGTAAGCCCTAGGAATAGGGTTAGAGTCAGCCACCCATACAAAGCAACTTGACTCGCTAGACACAAAACGGGCAAGAAGAAGCCTAAAACGATCGAAAATGAAGTACTGCCAATCAAAAGTTCTTCAAAAATCAAAATGCTCCAACCATCCCTGCTCGAATTGAAATAAAAATAAGTACTACGAAAGGAAAAATAATACAAAAATAAAAGCTTTCCCCAAATTGCTTCTTCGCACGGAAGTGGTTCTGGAGGAGGGCGAACTGCTGTAGTATGGTAGAAGTGAATTTCAACCCCTGGAAAATTCATCTAAAACCCTATCCTTTGCCATTGAAATCCATGTCCGAGGTGCAGAATAAAACTCTATCATGTTGCCTCGTGTTTCTTCGCTCACAAAACCAAAACCGCACACCACTGCCCTTGTATTCCACTCATTCCATGAAATACCCAGCCGCACAAACGAAGCTCGATCTGTGGAACAAAAAAACCCTAATTAGTGTAGGGAACACGGCCGCTCGATCCTCGAAAGAATCGATAACTATCCCATACTATCCATAATAGTATGGGATAGTTAAGCATTAAGCATATGATTTGATATTTGAAAAGTGTTGAAAACTCAACGTACTCTGATGATAAAAGAATAAAAACTGTTAGTACCCAATTTTGATAGATTTTGATGATGCCACTATACTCCACTTTAGTACATTGTGTCCTAATTAAGTTCGAACATTTGCTTTTAAATTTAAATCATAAGTGACAAAAATAAATGTACAATCTTTAAGATTAATGATATATTACCGGATACATAAAAATGCAATAAGGTAACTTTTTACCTTCATAGGATATTTAAATCCTACCGGCATATATCATTTTACTCAAAGATTAAATATAGGTCACATTTGAGATGCTCGAATACATTGAATGTTGATTGGAAGACAAAAGTTGACCAGCATTAAATACACGGTCCTACAGCATGGGAGGATTTCTTGGAGTGAAGCTGCAGCGGCTGAAGACACACCCATACCGCAGCCCAATCATTCAAGACAGAAAACAAAAAGATTAAAAGCTCCTGCACAAGAAGACGAATGTACAATTCGTCCTAGCCAGACCCTCAACGCACAAGATTAATCCATCTCAACCAACGGATGAGATTAATCAACCATGAAGGCCTATAAATATAGGCAGAAGCATGAGTTCAAAAACAAGCTTGAGCATCCTAAGTAGAGAAATACTTTCATCAAAGCATATACGAGATATCTAGCAAAAGAGAAAGTGCAAACTCAACTTTACTCTCTGCTTAGCCTCATGCTTCACTAAGCTCTTAGACTAGATCAACACTTTCATACTTTTAGAGCTTAGTTCATAGTTGGAGGTTAGAACTTTCTTGTAACATTTCACAAGTGGTTGTAAACACTTAGGAGAACAGTTGTTCGGATCCTAAAGTGTAGATAGATAGATAGAGTACCTTTTGATCCCCACTGGATCAATTGAGAAAAGTCTAAGGACTGAGTAACTTTGAGTGGTGTTATACTCATTGTGAAAAACCTTCAATCTAGGCCTATGAGTTGTAAAGGCTAGATTGGCACTAAGTGTATTGGGCTGAATACTTTAGTGGAAATCCATTTGAAAGAGAATGGGACTGGACGTAGGAGGATTACACCACCTCTGAACCAGGATACATCGTGTGTTGATTTCACTTCATTCAACAAAACACACACTCAGCATTTCTCATATAAAGATTGTAGTTTGCCAGCAGCATCTTAAGCAGTTGTCTTAATTGACCCAACTGCTTATCCTTCTGCTTAATTACTCACTCTCTTTGAGGCTATCTCCACACAGTTCACTTGCTAAAGCTTTACCAAAAAGGTTGTTCTATCAGTTCTCGGAAATTCACTTTAATAGTATAGCAGGTGTTTCAGCAGTCTCCTCAGTACCACCCAACTGCTGAGCTCTCTGCTCACTTACATATATTTCCTTTAAACAACTCAACATCACCAGATCCTCATAACATCATCACACGAAGTTTTGCTTAAAAGGATCTCTGAGAATCTGCTTATAACCTCAGCAGGTGACTCAGCAGTTCCCTTTGTACCACCCAACTGCCAAGACCACTGCTCCAGTTAAACTTCATCTTGACCTTACTTAAGTACCTTTTCAGACATCTTTCTTGCGTTCTAAACAACGTTTCATCATCACTCTCATCATAAAGTCAATGTTTCTCTAGCAGTTACCTCAGCAGTTTCCTGCTACCTAGTCTACTGCTAAGCTAACTGCCAAGCCAACTGCTAGCTATCTAAGTCCAAATCTTCCCAAAATTAGAAAGTGGTCAAACACTTATTACATAAAGGGTAAAGACTTCCGCTGTGCATCTGTTAATCTCTCAAAAAGATTATAGATCAATTCATCTAGAGGGAAAACTTCATAAAGTTGAAAAAGATTTAAAAGTCTATTCACCCCCCCTCTAGACTTTTACCCTATCTGGGACCATCAAGTGGTATCAGAGCGGAGTGTTCCTAGAGTCAGTTTTTGACTAATTTGAACTAAAGATCCAAACCACTCTACTTCCCAAACACTTTCTAGAAATGGACAGTCAGTTAGCCAAAAATCTTCTATTCAACTTGAACAAATTTGACGACTGGAAAATACGGATGAGAGCACATCTCAGTGCTTTACATGATGAGATGCTTGAAGTAATTACTGATGGACCTATCAAAATAATGAAGGTCATCACATCCAGAACCACAGAAGGGACAGATGATGTGTACATTCCAAAACCCAAAATGGAATGGACAACTGAAGACAGGAAGAGAAACAATCTTGACAACATTGCCAAAGATATTCTCTTTAAATCTGTTGATGAATCCATATTTCCTAGAATCAGGAAATGTGAAACTGCAAAGGATGTATGGGATGAGCTCACAAAGATTGGAGCAGGGGATGAACAGGAAAAAGACAACAAACTAACCATAGCCCTCAAGAAATTTGAGGATTTCAAAATGATGACAAATGAATCTATCCATGAGATGGAGTCCAAATTCTTGAAGATTGTGGCAGAGGTCTCAGACCTAGGGAAAGATCTATCCCAAAAGGAAATTTCCCTTAAAGTCTTGAGAGGCCTGCCATCAAAGTGGGACATGAAGGTAACTGCTATGAGAGATAGCAGAGATCTCAGAACTTTGTCAACCGACAAACTCTTCAGTGATCTCAAGGCCTATGAATTTGAAATGAAGGAGATCAAAGAAGAAAAGGAAGATGAATCCAAGACACTAGCTCTAGTTTCTGAGCCTGGCCCGTCAAGATCTAGTGAAAAATCCCTCAACAACCTCCTTACTGACGAGCAGTTCGCTATGTTTGTAAGGAAGTTTAAAAGGTTCATGAAAAAGGAGGGAACTGCTCCAAAAAGACCATACAATCTACCACCCAGGAAACAAGGGAGACCTCAAACCAACGAGGAAACTGTCCTGTGCTACAACTGTAGACAACCAGGACATTACAAAAATGAATGCCCTCTGCCCTTAGCCCAGAAGTATCAAGGGCAGCAGGGAACTGGTCCCAAAGCTGGTTATAAGAAGGACTTCAAAGGCAAGAGGCAAGCCTTTGTAAGTGAAAAGAAAAAGGAGGAACCCCAATCTGAAGATGAAAGCAGTTCAAGTGATGAAAGCTCTTCATCTGAAAGCTCAGAGGAAGCACTTCTATGCCTAGGATCCTGGCAGGTGGCTGAAAAAGGCGGCAGCTGGCTCACTGAAGAAAGCAGCAGATGGCTCAGTGAAAGTGATGAATGCAGCTCCCCTAAATGCCTAATGGCCAAAGACCACTACAATGACGTTGAGGTAACATCATGCTCTTCTTATAGCTCTAGTGATTCTGGACCAACCAATACTACACTGGAATCTTTATTACAAGATTTCCAAAAAGTCCAAGATCACCATGTTCTCTTAAGATCAGAAAATAATAGATTAAAACAAGACATTAAGGCTGTTCACACAAGATTGCTAAATGCCTTAACCAAAAACAATGTCTTAGAAGAAGAGAACAAAGAGCTGAAAGATAAAATGAATAACTTCAGCATGGATAGTAAAACCAGTGACTCTACTGCTGAAGTTGTTTTAAATAGGAAGAGAAGAGGCCTCGGATATGTATCCCCCACCAGACTCACTCAAAACTCATCCTCCACTAGCCACCAAGAAAATGCCAGAAAGCCAATCTACCAAAAATCCAACTCCCAAAACATTCCCACAAGAAGGAACCTGCCTGCTTCCAAATCAAAATCCAAATTCCTGTATAAACAAAAACTTCCCAACCATCAAACCCCAAGGACCCGTTGGCAACCAACCAATAAGACCAACCACAGTCATAACACTAAGCAGTGTCCTCCAAAAGCCAATAATCCATTTCCCATTTTAAGAAGGAAAAGGATTAACAAATACATAGCCATCCCCCATGACTATAACACCTCAAATGGCTATAGACCAATCTGCTTAGAACTAAATGGTTCTAGATGGGCATGGATGCCCAAACTTGTACAAAGGAAGTTGCCCACTAACTTGTGGGCTACTGCTCAACAATGATGAATACAGGAAGGTGCTGGAGCAGTTGACTCACAAACATGGTACATAGATTCAGGCTGCTCCAGGCACATGACAGGCAGCAGGCGGCTCCTGTTCAACTATATGGCAAGAGAAGGACCCAAAGTGACCTTTGGGAATGTGGAAAAACAAGGAGAAACCAAAGGAGCTGGAGACCTATCCATCAATGGACTTACAATCCAAAACATATCTTATGTTAAAGGATTAAAGTTCAATCTCATAAGCACAAGCCAGCTCTGTGACAATGGCTATAATGTTACATTCTCCAAAGACATCTGCTTGATTAGAGATGTCAAAAATGACAAAATTGTGCTCACTGGTAGAAGGAAGAAGGACATGTACATTGTCGATTGGAGCTCAGCAAAGGAAAGGATCTGCTTGGTGACAAAGGCAGATTCAAATTTGAGTTGGGAATGGCACAACAAATTAAGCCATTTAAATTTCAAAACAATCAACAAACTGTCCAGAAGAGGATTGGTGAAAGGACTCCCTGAAATCAACTATAAAAAGGACCATCTCTGTGATGCTTGCCAAAAGGGAAAACAAACCAAGGTATCATTCAAATCAAAAGAAGTCAGCTCATCAACAAGACCACTAAGCCTACTGCACCTTGACTTGTTTGGACCAGTTGAACCAACAAGTTTAAGCGGCAGAAGGTACACCCTGGTCATTGTTGATGACTACTCAAGATACACTTGGACCATATTCCTAAAGAAGAAGAATGAGACAGAGAAGAAGCTGCCTGAATTGATGAGACTAATCCAAAATGAGAAAAGCCTCTCAATTCAAAAGATCCGGTCAGATAGAGGTACTGAATTTATTAATTCTATAATAATTCAGTACTGTGAAGAAAATGGAATTCATCACCAAACTTCAGCAGCAAGA